AGTGTGGTATGTGGATCATAGGGGTTTAGAGATGTTGAAGATGATGCCACATAAGGATAGTCTTCTACGTCGGTCACTATATACCCGGCTTGCACGATTCCGCAAGGGTTAGCAACAATCAGGTGGACGTTAGAGAGTTGTTTAATTCTATCCCTTTTGAGTAGTCGATAATATTAGTGGCACCTGTTTGAATAATATATTTATTATAAATCTAATTTATATTCGATTTCTTCTTGCTAAGGTTTATAAACAGTTTTTTCATAAATTTTTGTACAACTAAAGCTCACTAAACATTTTTGAACAAGTATTTGAACGAAAATTTAAAATCGTTGATATTATTATTTTATTTATAATACAATTTTTCAGTTTCCTTCAACCCATAGATCTTTTCTTTGTTCGTTATATCTTCCAATTACCGATATGTATATACATACTACAATTTTTCAGTCGAACCTTCAACTCATATATCATTTCTTCTTTTGTTATATCTAGTACCGATACTAATACTACAATTTTTGCTTCGATTCTTAAGCTTATAAATTATTTCTTCATTTGTTATATCAACCTGTTGATTTCTTCATAGTGTCATGAGTAAATAATTAGGGCGTAGCAGAATTGAATGATCATAGATCATACCGATTGACTTGGTGTTATCATCCTAGAGACTTGGGTATCATTAAAGGAAGTTCTATCAATAATGATGCAAAACACAAGAAAGGAACGTTCTAGCAATAATGACGCAAAACACAAGAAAGGAATATACACGAATGAATAGATTATAATCTGAATATTAAAATAGAGGAAGGATGGGTCAATGGGACAAGATATTATTGATGTAAGCAGATAAGATATAATAATTTAGTAAAAGTGGTGATAACATGTTTCAAAGCCCCTTATGCCCTTTTTGCTATAAAAGTGCTTATATTTTGTTGTAAAAAAATATGAATCTTTAAGTCAATAACTAATAAAGCTATAAAAATTTAATAAAAAATATCCTTTACAAAACATAAATATTTCGACTAAATCATTAAAATTATCATTGTCATGCCTTGGACAAGTAGCCTTATTATAAATTTTCTTCGTTCTGATTATTTCAAACTTATCGTACAATTTACCTGTAACAAATAAAAGGAAAATCTTATACGTTGTATAGACAAAATAAATCTATACTTATCTATATTTGAATTATTGTAATTCTGCCTTAACAAGAAAATAAAAGTATGTTATTATTTCATTAAAAATAATAATACTTCTAGAATTTATAAAATTCACATGAGACTATAAGTATACATTATTGAACAGACAACAAAAAATAACAGCAAATTGTTTTTTTTGTTGGAATTAATATCACTCCATATGCTGTGTAGCAGCACATGAGTGAAATTAACTACAGTCAACTCCCGCTATAGTCACATCCAAAATAGTCACATTTTCTTGAAACTATATACCAATCATTTAAAGTAATATAAAATTAACTCTTGCTATAATCACATGATGTGACTATTACAGTCAACTCCCACTATAGTCACACTATCTGGCAGAAACTTGATGTGACTATAGTGAGAGAAACATAATAATAGTCACATCATGTGATTATAGCGAGAGTTAATTTTATATTACTTTAAATAATTGGTATATAGTCTCAAAAAAATGTGACTATTTTGGGTGTGACTATAGCGGGAGTTGACTGTATGATGAATTTTTTTCTGTGATGTTTTACAAAATTGATTATGCAAAAAATATCATAGCAAAAAAATTCACATGATGATATGAAATGTCAGATAATAAACTTTCATAAGCTCATTAATTTATCTTGCAACTATTAAAATAATATTAGCTGATCTCTGTTTATATACTAGGTAAATACATAGTATTGTTTGTCTGGAACTCAATTTTAATTTTTTGCTATATAAATTTTGCCATTTTGAAATCTGGAGTTTCCCAAAAAAAACTTTTTTTTTTACTAAGTAAACATCTTTTCAAGCTCTAAATAAAGTTGTAGAGAAGTTTCTTGCAATCAAAATAGTAGTTAACCTGTTAAAATCGGCCCAGTAGATCGTGAGATATAAGTACTTTAGTCTTTGCAACTATATGTTTTCTTCTTTATTTATAAAGAAGAAACATATAGTTGCAAAGACTAAAGTACTTAGATCTCGCGATCTACTGGGCCAATTTTAACGTTTTAACTGCCATTTTGATTGCAATAAACTCCTCTACAACTTTACTTAAAGTTTAAAAAGATGTTTACTTAGTAAAGAAAAAAGTTTTCTTTATTAAAAACTCTTAATTCTAAAGACAATAATATTTGATGCATCAAGAAAGTATCTTTTGTATCATAGTGAACAGACGGAATATGCAAAGTGACTTTTTTGATATTTTAATATGTAATACATCAAGAAAGTAACTTTTGTATTACTATGCATAGAAATTAAAGGTCTGTCACTTCGTTCTAGACAATAATCTTTTTTTATTTATATTTGCTACTACTTTATTTTTAGATGAATACTGCACAATCTTCGGAGATATCAAGAGATTATTGAAATCGCCTTGCTAGAGAAGCTTATGCATGTTAAAAATTATTATTTATATCTAAACAACTTGAGAATTGATGTGTGCAGCAACGTGAAGCTTATAGGCTTTGTACTGAGGCTGAATTAAATGAGCAAGCTAATCCTCGACGTAAAGCTCAACAAGCTCATAAACCTAATGCTGCCTGTATGCAGGTATATGATACTACCTCTGTTGTCTGTTATCAACTAGGATCAATGGAAGTAGAATGTTTGCAATGTGGAGCACTACATTAGAAAGAAGAAAAAGTAGCTGGTAGTGCACTTGCTCCAATTTTCAGTACCTGTTGTGCTAATGGAAAAATAACATTGCCACCTATTAATCAACCACCAGAACCCTTGCTTTCATTGCTCATCAGAGAAGATGGTAGATCTTACAATTTTCGAAAAAACATTTACAGATATAATTTATTGTTAGCATTTACGTCAATAGGTGCCAAAATTGATAAAAGTGTAGTTGGCACCCAGGGAGTCAACTGTTTCTGAATCCATAGTGAAATGTACTATCAAATAGGCTCATTTTTGCCAGAAAGTAACATAGCACCTACATTCTCCCAAATTTATATTTGTAATACTGAAGAACAATTATTTTACAGACAAAATCTAATGATATAGACCCATCAATTCTTGAACAGCTTCAGGAAATGCTACACAACATTAATCTATATATTCACGTTTTTCAGCAAATTGCTTATATACTATATGAGAATTCTGTTCTAAGCCTAAAATTTGTTATTATTAAGGTACACAATGAACAACAGTATTTGATTCCCTCTGCTTTAGAGATTGCTATTCTTATAGTAAGAGACAGTTAAGAAATTAAACTATTGAATCGAGATATTGTGCTTTACAAACAAAATAGTAGTTTGCAACGTATTTCACAAACATACTCTTCTTATATTCCATTGCATTATGTATTACTTTTTCCACATAGAGATCCAGGTTGGCATCCTTATATTTTCACAAATAATACGGTTTATCAGTTAGTTAATAATTCAGATGCAGAAAACCATTATGTTACAATAATACAGTATTATACTTATCGGCTACAGTTACAACAATATAGTCCAACAGTTTCAACAATATATAGTTGATGCATATACTTGCATTGAGCAAAATTGCCTTAATTATCTAAAGTATAATCAAAAAAAGATTCATGCTGAACTATATAGTAGACTACAAGATGCACTTTCTGCTCATAATGAAATACCCCAGACAGGATCACAGGTTGGTCATCGAATTGTACTTCCATTCAGTTTTGTTGGCGGACCTCACCACATACAACAATTATATCAAGATGCAATAACTATTGTTAAACAAATAAGAAAACTGAATCTATTTATCACAATGACATATAATCTGAATTGGCCAGAAATTCATTTAGCTTTACTGTCAGGTTAATCTTCTCATGATCAACCAGATATTTGTGCTTGCATATTTCGATTAAAATTAAAAGCTCTCCTCAAAGACATTCTTAAAAATAATATTTTTGGTAAATCTCTTGCTTATATTTATGTTATTGAATTACAAAAGTGTGGTCTCTTGCATGCGTACATGTTGATTATATTGTCACCTAATAACAAACCAAATACAACAGAAGATTATGATCGCATTGTATCAGCAGAAATTCCAAATCCTCATGATCTTCCACTTGAATATGCAACTGTGATACAATATATGATGCATGAACCATGTGAAAAATATAATATGACTACATTATGCATGAAAGATAGTAAATGTTCAAAAGGTTATCCAAAGCCCTTTCAAGCAGTAACCAATCAAAATGAAAATGGTTATCATATATATCGTCGACATTTTAATAGCCATACTGTTAAAGTCAAAGGTAATGATCTTGATAATCGATGAGTTGTATCTCATAACTTATATCTTTGTAAAAATTCAATTGCTATATCAATGTTAAAATTTGTTTCTCAATACATGATGTTGAATACTTATTTAAATATATCTACAAAGGCCATGATTGTGCAACAATAGCATTTAGTAGCAATAATGTTATAACACACATTTTGTATCAGCACATGAAACTATTTGGTGTATTATGCATTATAAAATGCATGATGAAGCACCTGATGTTATAAGATTAGTTGTACACCTTCCTGGTCAATATTTAGTCACTTTTTCTGATAACGAATCTCTGGACAATGTTGCTCAACGAGCACAAAATCAAAGAACAACTTTAACAGCATGGTTTGAAGCCAACTGTGATCAAACTATTTGCCAAATGACAAAAGATTTGACTTATACTCAATTTCCTCAAAAGTTTGTTTTTGACAGTCATATATACAAATAGAGACAACACATTAGTAGTTATACAATTGGTCAAATATATTTTATACATCTAGGTGCAGGTGAACGTTACTATTTGTGTATGCTACTTAATATTATACATGGTGCACAATCTTTTGAGCATCTACATACTGTAAATAATATCCTCTATTCAACTTTTAAAGATGCATGTCGAGCAATGGGTCTTCTACAAGATGGCTTATAATGGGATCAATGTCTAAAAGAAGCATCAGAATTGAAATCAGGTTACTAGCTACGACAATTGTTTGCAACAATTTTATTAAATTGTTACCTAGCATGACCTGAACAACTCTGGATTAAACATAAATACAATTTAAGCAATGATATATTGTATAAACTGCATTATATATTACACAATCCAAATCTTCAACTAATACAACAAGAAATTGAAACCTACACTCTGCATGAATTAGAAGATATCCTTATGCAGCAAGGCAAATTATTAAAAGATTTTTCTGATATGCCAATTCCTACTACCATATATAATCTTGCTAATTGCTTATTAAATGAAGAACTAAATTACAACCAAGCTATGCTTCATGTTTTTCTTAACCAAAATCTTTCATGCCTTAATGAAGATTAACAACGTATATATAATAGAGTAATAGAAGCAATTGAACAAAATATTCCCATATATACAGGGGGGTAACAAAAATATTTCCACACCTAAGGACTTGGCTTATAACTCAAAAACTTACTAATTAACTTATGTCCTTGATTTGACT